GGATTCGAACCACTGACCTCTGCGATACTAGTGCAGCGCTCTACCAATTGAGCTAACAAGCCAACTGGGAGCAGGCCATCAAATTAATTCGATATAAACCCGTAGATGATAAATCGAACAACAACAAACATATGAAACATATGAGTGAACTGCGGTTATGAGACGTATATAAGAACGATCCTTCGCAGTAAAGCACTATTTGAGCAATAGTGGAAATCAGACCTGAAAAAAATTTCAGGCCTGTANGGGTATTTATAGCCTTCAAATTAAACTTAAATTATATAACTTATATTAAACTTATAAACTTATATATAGATATAAAAGCAGAAATGTAATGGTCAAGAGGCCAACTCCAATGTAGCTTGGTTGGTTTATTAGCTCGACGTTTCGACCGTCTCGGTCTTCCTCAGGAGCATACTAATGACATGAGCAATATTTAAATTTAAAATTGTGTCGACAGTAAACATGTCATGACGTAATATTATAAAAATATTAATTATATTATATTAATAATAATAACAAACTGGTTCAAGACTTTAGAGCTAGTTTATCGTTTTATTGCCACAGCTCTGTTTCGTATGGTCGAAAATGACCACACTCATCAGGTAGTAAATAGTAAAATGGAATAGTAAAATGAACAACGAAACAAAGTTTTCGTGAGTCGTAGTTTCATGCTTTCGCAAACATCAGACAGTAGTTATTCCAATGAAAGACATACGTTATATACCGAATGCTAATTATGGGGTGTGAAACATACAATTAGGCGGTTTAAAACTTAGTTCTTATAATTTGTGACACGTAATTCTACTGAAAGTGAATAAAAATTACGTTTTAGAGGTAGAAATTGTTTTCGTGGCGGCATTCGGAAACTAGTTCAGATCTTGTGTTGAGTAAAGTGTTTTTGTCGGCTTGGAGAATGCGGAGTTTTTCTGTGAGGCGCAGATTACATTTCTTAGTTTTGTTAGAGTAGGCAGGAGCGTGGCAGAGGAGAGATCAGTGAATTGAGTAGGTTGTTTGGCTGTTTTTCAGATCCCAGATGTGCTTTGATAGTTCGGTGGAGCTGGAGTACTTAGGGTTGCGGAAAGACAGCGTGTGTTGGGTGTAGGGGCGTTCAAGTGTACCTTCTGTGAGACCTGTGTAGTTTTTTCCATTGGGGTCGTTGTTCGTTGTGACGCTGGCTTTGTAGATCAGGCTTTTAGAGAGACATTTATTATTTAGGGGACACTTCGCTTTCGTCCTGCAGTTGCATCCATCTTCTTGGGTAGTTTGGGGGGTGTCGAAAATGTTTTTTTTTGGCGGTTTATAATAGATTCCATATTTTCCATGCAGCAGTAGCTTACTTTGACTGTGTTCTTGTTGAAAATTTTGAAGTAGCGATGCGATTTCGGAAAGTGCTTTTGAAGTAGGGATAGGGATTTTCCTGCGATGTTGGTCTGGACGTTCTTACTGAAAGGAGGGTTGAACCATATTGTTTTCCGGTTTGTGTTCTTGAGGGCGTTAGATGTGGGTGCTTCGTAGTCGCGGAATTCTAGTTTGGTGTGGTATCCACTTGCTTTTAGCGCGGACTCGTATGGAGGCTTGGCATTATCGATTACTTCTCTATTACATGAGTTGAAGGAAAGTCGTCGGTTGATTGATACAGGTAGATGGGCGATTATGGGCGGCGGGTGGTTGGATTTCGTGTTCATGCAGAGGGGGTCGTTGTTCGGCTTGTGGTAAGGATGGTATGTACCAGATTGGAGGTTAAGCGTGGTGTCTAGGAAATTGACTATTTTCAGGTTAGTTTGGATGGAGATGGCGAGGCCGTACCGTTTAAAGAGACTAATGAATTTCTTCTGGTTCGTTCTGCTTGAGGTCCTGGGGCATTTTTAAGTAATGCAAGTCCGTCGTCTCTGTATAGTCCTATGTCGCAGTTGTGAGAAGTCGAGCTCAGGGAGTTGAGGATGAACAGGACGACGAGATCACATATCTCAGCGCCGTCGTAACTGCCCATGGTTACGTCGAATAAGAATTCGTCATTTTCCTTTTCCCAGGGGGAGTCTTTGTCGAAGAGTAGTGATTTTCTGCAGTGCATGATGATTTCGGTGTCTTGAGGCGTTATGTTGAGATAGGTTTTGGTGAAGTTGATAGCATCAAGTAGGAGGGATTCAGATATGGACGGGTAGAAGTTGTCGACGACGAATATAATGAAGGAGTGCTTGCTTTTGTGGAGGATGTGCTTGAACCAGTTGATGACTTCTGAGGAATTTTTCCATTGGTTGAAAGATGTTTTAGTTCGGATGCTGTTGTTAACCTTGTCTAGGATGGACTTGCTGACGTTGCCTAAGTCAGTTTTAGCGGGATCAAATAGCCGGCATGATGGTTTGTTATCGAAGTTGTCTTTGTGGTCTTTTAACGAGATGAAGGCCTGTTTCGTAGCAATGCGTTCGGTGCGGTCTGCGAGATTAAGGTTGGTGAATATGCGTTTTGCTTCTTCGTTGATTGAATCAGCTGTGTTGGCATTCGATTTTCTGTAGGAGGTGGTGATGCTGTTGTGAAGTAGTTTATCGTGTTGCGCTTTTGAAAGTTCGTAGTAGTTGGTGGTCTTGTCTGCTGGAATGAAGGCATTAGATGACTTGTTGATCTCCATTATATGGCGGTTTAATTGGTCTAGAAATTCATCTTGTATTTTCCTAAATTTTATGGAATTCAAATAATTGAAAAGGTCGGATTCAAACCTGCTTAGATCGTCATTTGGAGGTGGGAATTTTCTAGACTTGAAGCCGAAATGTTAATTTTTCATGGTGTCGGGGTCTTGCGGGTTGTCAAAGAAATAGGCTTTCTATCGCATGCGTTTGACGACGCTTTCCGTTTTGTCGATCTGGCACGTCAGGTACTCGTTTCGTGGAGGTATCGGTAAGTTTTTCGTGGAATATCCAAATATAACTTGTTTCATCTTGAAGAGAGTCAGCTGCGGCGATAGTGCAAGCGAGAGACCAACCATTCCTCATAACAATGGCTGTTTTAAATGCGATAGGAAAAGATGCGACCTCTATCAGAATTTATTTGTTGAATCTAAATCATTTCTCAGCTTTCAGTCGGAAAAAAATTACGCCATTCACTATAGACTTTCCTGTGACTCTAAAAATGTGATTTACTTGGCTTCCTGTAAGAAATGTCGCCTGCTATACGTGGGATCTACTACCACCGACTTTAAAGTGAGATTTCGAAATCACAAATCTGCTATACTCACAAACAAAACAACTTGTGAAGTAGCGATACACTTCAACAAAACCCCAGACACCCCACACACCTTAATTAATTTTCCATCTTAAATTAGGCGCTACTAATTGATCGTTCAAAGGCCCTTTTCTTGGATTTTGTCGGCTTTTCAGGTGTGGATTGGGCTCAGAAGCCCTGCCAAGGGATCTTATTATGATTAGTATCATTTAAGGGCCCCTCCAGGGATTTTGTTGCTAATTTGCCCTTTCGGGCTCCAAAGCTTAAGGCCTTGTTTTGGGATTTTGTTACGGTATACAGTTGTAGTAAAAAGTGGGTCTTCCCTTTTTTAATGCTCGCCGCATTACTTCTTTGCAATTGGTTACGCCACTCATATTAACATGTTTAGTATTCTTGTCTCTTAGTTCTTAGGGTTTGTTCCTTGTATTTTTTCCATTGCTTTCTTTGTAATTAGGTTTTTTGTTTATTAGCACCATTTGATCAGTTGTTATCTGTAATTACGTAATTATCAGCACTTCGAACCTATTTAATGCTCTTTTTCTATTTCAAAAGTTGTAAATAACTGAAGAAGGTCTCTGACCGAAATGTTCTTTATTAGAATTTTTTATATTTTTTACGTCAGAAGTCGTCCATCCTCGCAATTTTTTAAACTTTTATATATATATGTATATACATAGAGGCGGAGCGGTGTATATATTGTAAAAGGAAAAAGACAAATAAACTACAAGTTCATCCCTACAAGCCTGTTCCGTGGTTGCCCACTCATCAGGAGATTTATATATA